TGATTTAAAATAAACTTCAAATTGAAAAAACGGACATTCATGACGCCGCATCGAATGGTTCACAGTTTTGTACAATATTTAAGTCTGAATTAGTCTAAACACCAAAAATATGATGCATCTTGTAAGATTTAAACATTGATAAGGTATATTACTTTACCTATTAATTAATCCGTTGAACGATTTATAATTAAGTAAACAAGTCCAATCATTGTGAAAAATTTATATAAAGGAGAATAAACTGTTTTCATGAGGCAATTTATATTTATTTCAATTAGATTTTGCACGTGAAATAAAATAAAACTATCTATTCAATGGATTTAGGATTATTCTTTTAAACGAAATGACATGTAGTCTTTTTCTTTTAGAATCTAGAAGAATATTCATTGAAATAAATACATACACCACTGTCTAAGATATTGATTATGACTTATGGATTTTTGAATGTATAGTCTTGTGTCTCAAAAGTGTTTCTTCAGTTTTATTGTAAAAACTCCATTTTTATCCAATCGACCTCTTCCTATCATGTTATCAGTAAACTGCATACAAATAGATATTAATTGACTTCGTCACCGCTTTGATGTGAAAAGTTCTTATTAGAAATGTAAAAAATGATAGACATTGTACTAAAATCTGTCCGAGAAAACATTTCTTAAAAATGAAGTTGTCATGAATAAGAGAAATGAAACTTTACATTAATTTGTATCACTTTTAGAAATAGAGTAGACTAGTCAGCCATTCAGTTTTGTTAAAATCAATGATCAAATACGCCTACATCATCTATGTAGATGTTTTTGCATGCATGAGGTATGAAAAGCGAACTAGCTTTATCAAATTATCTGTCTAATAAAAAAAATACTTTCAAAAACTTTTCTTTTACCAAATTGGCGATCTCTTTGTTGATTTATATTTCTTTACAGGTGCATCGAAATTACTATGCCCGTCTGGACATCGTCTGGAGCTATGCAATGCTGAGGCGCGTCGAGCAAGGAGGAACTGTAAAGATATATATACGAGATTTCATATGTGACATTTGCTCGAAACGTTGTTGGGATTTATCATGGCACTGTTCTTGTTCACTAAATGAATTCAATATCTGTGAAACATGCGCAGACAATCGTTTTTGAAACTTTTTATTGCTAGAACGCATAATGATTTACTATAATTAACTTGTACTAACATTCGACACTTACTTATTTGATGTCTTTTTAAGAATGAAATAAACTCGAACTTTCGTAGAAAAAAACGACACAATACCTTATTTAGATAATATGACAAATCATTTTATTTATCGATCAAATCGTTGAAATTTAATAAGTTCTATAGATTAATTCATTTATGCTGAAACTTTTGCTAATGAAAAATGAAAACGTCCTATGGAGACGAATTGAAACTGAATGAACTTTTTCCATGATAACTATTAGGCAATTATGCTTTCTGTGACGAGCATGCTCTGCTTGTATTATTATCAGAATTATTTTTAAAACAAGTAAGCAAATTCTTAATATATTAAGATAATAATCAACGTTTTACTGTGATACGATCAAGGAAAATTCAAATTTCCTTGTCGTGTAGATCAAAAGCAGCTCGTCATGTTTCATTAGTAAAGCAGGTTTCTTGGTCATTTTTAAACTTTCGGATATCGTTTTCACTATCCAATCATTTCTTTTCTTCACACTCGTATATGTCAACCCTAACATAATCTCCTTTGTATTAATACCTAATTTCTAACAATATGTCATTGCTTTTAAATTGTCAAACGTACGTTTTGTTGCTGACGAACAGATGGACGCCAAACCTAATATCTTCTGACTTTCCTCTACGAACAAAGATAGATGGTTTCACGGAATACTCTTTATCATCATAAACTAAGAGACATAGCTCGATGGTTTAATCCTGCTCAATTTTTTCAATATTTCCATTCTCAAAAACTATTCCTTCTTTCATGTATTCAGTCATTTCGATAGATATCTCAAATAGGGGTGTGCACGTTTATCTTTCCTAGGGCAGTCATCCTATTCCGTGATGTTGCACACTACGGAATCGATTCCATCCAATTCCGGAATTCTATCTCATCCTCACTCTCAGCATGTCTTCTGCAGTTTAAGATAAATATCTAAGATAAGCGAGCGATTCCAGAACGGAATTCGGGGCATTAGATGGAAGGGAAATTAGACTAAATCGGAAGGAATCACCACTAATTCCTAGTAATTCCGACGAGTTCCTTTCCCTTCTGGATTTGAATGGAATTTCGGAATCGAACGGAAGTGCTGGGAAGTGCTAGAAATTCCGTTCCGGAATCGCTCACTTGTTTCGGATATTTCTCAGTGACTACATAAGGTATGCTGTGAATGAGGATGAGATGGAATTCCGGAAATTGAGGGAACTCGATCTTTTTCGAATAAGGCGACTTGGTTCAACGATTGAAAATTGCGGAATCGGATGGAACTGATTCCGGAGACGGAATCAATTCCGCAATGTGCAACATGACGGAATAGAATGACTGCTCATTGTCATATAGTTACTAAGGTATGTTTCAATTTTAGCTGATGTTTCCATCGATTATATTCCCCATGTACTTTGTTTACATGGAAAAATATACTCTATTCTACGTAGTACAGCATAGTTAATGGCAACTTTAATGATTGCCTATTCTGAGCGAGCTAATAATAATTGAATATTTAATGTTTATTTCAAAATCAAAGGAGAATGTACAGAGTCATGATGTTTGCTATCTAGTTTAAATAAAAATTTCGATAGAAAAGTATTCAATATATGTATCATCTTGATTCTTAGTAAAACGGATTGAATTAATCTTGTCTCTTCTCCAATTCAAATTTCAATGTCAGTGTTTCTGCAGGTCTTGTTTCCTCATACAACATTGAAAGTAGATCTTCTATGGTTAAACTACTTCAAACTTGTGATTTATTATCATTTCGTATTAAGAATAGCTCGTATGAGTCGATATCTCTCTCTTCAATATGTAAGGATTCCAGTGCATATTCAACGATTTCTAACACTTTCATTTCTTCACTGCCAGGTAAAATTGTTGTTTGATTTGTATACGATATGAGGCATTTGATTGTCACCATGTACATTAATTGAAATTCAAACTTATCATCAACGGTATCGAGATCTTTTAGGGCGATTCCTTCACCTATGCTACGTCCACTATGATGCAAGCAATAATATTTCTTTCTTATTCGAAACAGTTGACATGCAATTTCTAAAATTCGTTCAATACTCATCGATGATGAACAATAAAAAGTCAATGAATAATTATTATCTTCGGCGTTAATGATTGTCACAGCAAACGGTAAAATTGTTTCAACCAATTGAAAATGTATGGGTGATGTGAAATATGATAATGGAGTACTTTCCGCCGGAACAAAATCATTTTCGTGGAGAAACTGTTCATTACGATAATCAATATTGTTTTCTTTCATAATGTCTTCAATCGTTGCTGATGTTCGAAATCGTTGACGAACAACTTCATTTGTATTGTCATTGTTATCAGTTATCGACAGACTCCGTTCTTTTTCTATTGAAACAACACACGTTTCATTTTCTTCAAGCAAAATAAAATTTTGCGTGTTCAAGTTTGTAAGATTTTCATTGTTTTGAAAAATTCTTTGAGTGTCAATTGATGCTAAATATAAATTACCACTATCAGATATATCTATTTGTTGTAAAAGTTGTTCGACAGTTGTAGTATTGTTTTCAAGATAGATTTTCATATCTTGTTTATTATTATTATTATTATTATTTCGAATTTTAATCGGGATTAATATTCGAAAATGAATGGTTCCGATATCATCACATAGATATGCATCAACTTGCTTCCGATAATCATCTTTCGAGAGTATTTGATCATTTGTCTCACTGACCGTTAAACAGCAGTTATTCAAATTTAAATCTGGAAAATGTCGATTTTTCAATAACTGTTCAATTTTAATAGATTTCAAGGTAAGAATATGTTGAGTAACTGTCCCAAATGAGAGAATAACGTTAACAATTTGGTCTAAAGCAATGCCGTCCAATGTTGTTGTGGTTATTCTTGAAGATGCAATTGATTGATGCTCATCGACAATTGTTTCATTATCTCGATTTCAAAAAACGCATAATGATTCAATCTCTGGTAGAACTAATTTTCGCCAAATCTCAATCTGTCGCCATTCCGTCATTGGATGAAACACAACTGCTTTCTTTTCACCTAAATACTCAAATAATGAGTGAATACAAGCTTTAGTCGTTAAAATTACTTCATAACTTCAAAATTTTATCCTCATTGTCTCTAAAAATGCTTGAGTTTATATTCAGTTTTCTGCGAGAATAATTCAAAATGCATTCGCAACAATCTTGTAAAAACGTGCTATAGTCTTTAAAATTTTTACGAAAAATCTGTTCCCTTACACATCAGCTAACAGGATTCTTAACTACAGCATCTACTAAAAACATACGAGTTTAGTTGAATTTTTAGCTTAAAACCAATCATATTATGTCTGGTCGGTTATCCAACCTCCATACTTGGAAAAAGCTCCTACTTAACGTAATCGTTGTATTAGATAGCTGATTTGGATGTCTTCGTATACACGTCAACATTCGAATGAGTACATATAAAAAAACATCTCAACAGAAAACCCTGTTTATTTCATTCAAGTCTAATTTCCATAAGATGAATATAAATTTTTCAAGTGATATTTTTCCTCAAATGTATTATACATGTAACGTACATGTGCAGGAAAAGCTTTCTTACACCGTATTTTAAAAATATTTCTCAGCCCTTAACAACTGCTAGTCCTTATTCAAACAAATTGGATCTAGACTATTGATGTTTATTGAATGAATATCAACAGTCTGAAGCCTTTCTTCAAGAGATTTTCTAGTGCGGCGGCTAGTTGTTCGTCGGCGCCACTCACGGACAACCGCTGCTATGTACCATTCTATTCCTCTACGACACAATTCTTCTTTATTTGCACTTCACTAAATTGTGAACTTGTCTTTGAAAAATCACAAGATATCATATTGAACTTTTTCAAAGATCACGTAGCAAAAAACGTTTACACAGCTATACGAAAACGTCGAATATTCTTTGAAAAGTCTACCAGAAATGTGTATACATTCTAGAACATTCGTCGATAGTGCTGTTTACTATATAGTTCTCTAGGAAAATGCAAGCTTAGTGAAGCCCCTAGCTGAAAATAAATCAGATTATATCTGATCTCTAATCAAAATAGTATACATACAATACGCTCTTATTCAAAGCAGCGATAAGGCTCGACAGATAATTTGAATAGATCAGTATACGTTCAGATACTTGAGAGAATACAAAAAAGCTAATTCTAATAGAAACACTGTTTTCATTCATGTCAACGGCTGATACAGAAAATAGATATTCTTTCAATAATGTTTTCCATCCAGTGAATTACTCAGATATTCTGTCCAAAGAAAAAACCGTTTTCTTATCCTTGACTTGACATAGGTTTTTCAGCATTTTGCATCTAGGGTGTGGGTGTGGATATGGCACTTCTCTTAACTCATCCACACCTACATCCCACCGCCGCAGTCATGCCCCACACCCACATCATCCAAGCTAATATTGTAAATTTGGGTTTTTTGTAAACGTTCCTTCAGTGACAATAACCGTCTAAAGTAGAAAAAGAAAAGATCAAAATTATACCAAGAAACTATGTGCAAAGAGTAAAAAAGACAGAGCACAGCAAAAGAATATACCATACAATGAAAATAAACTGGTAATATATTAAGTGTCAGAACACAACAAAAAAACATCAATAATTCATGTTAACATAGTTTTCTAAACGCTTCTAAATAAAAGAAACTAGTAAAATTCAGAATAAATATTCATAGATGTTTTCGTAACGAGAAATTAATTCAATATTTGATAATAAATCATGATATTATATGAATAATAGAAACTTTCAAAAGCATTTATGTATAAATATGTTAATCGATGCCAGAATTAGGTTAAACTGCTACAAAAGTACCCTCTACCGATAGTAGACGTTTAAATTATTGAAAACATCGTGCTAGACAATGAAAAAGTGAAAAACCTATACTGAAACAATGAACTATTTGTTTTTGATAGATACAAAATTCTTCATTTGATTATTTTTCTATCAATTTTATGTTCAAAATACCATATCTAATAGCACCACTTCATAAAATACTGAACGAGAACGAATTAAAGCTCGTATGTATGACAGAATTTTTTCACTATGCCATAAGAAGACATCCATTGAAGTGTATCATTTATTTTCAAATACATTGGTTACAGTAGTTGTTTAAGTTCAAATCACAGATTAACCATTAACAATATTTTCAGCCGAAGGACATCATTTTTCAATAGTTGCCTCAATTAACATTAAAATTATGCTTCTTTCTATTTCATTCACATTATCAACATATCAATCAAATATGTAATTAGCACAAAAATAAATCAAACTGATGATATTCTTGTTATTATTTATTTTGAGGGAGAGAGAAAAATATTACATAATGTGGGAGACAAGGTATATAATTTGCAGTGTGATTTACGCTATCACATGCATGATAAGTAAACGAAAATTGGAGAAAAACTAATCATCAAATAAATGATGTTGTTGATTTTTTTCGATTCAATCATTTTTTTGACAAGCATATCTGCATTTGAAACAAGGTGTCGCTTATTAGTGAGTATCACCAAAATGAATATTCACTTTCGCACGTCGTAGAAAAATGAAGGAAAACAAAATACTGGGTGTCCCCCGCAGAAATCAAACAGGTAAAGTTCGTGCATGAAACAATTCACTTTCGTATCATTTACAGTCAAATGTCAAACGCCAAAATGTTCCTCCAAATGAATAGACAGCAAAGACGGCGTATAGTCGAAAATTATTTTGTTATCTGGGTCGATGGCAAAATTGATCCAGAAGATGATGATTGCAAGAAAATACTCACAGAATTACGGGCGATTCTTAACGAAGTGGAGATATGTACCACAGTTGAAAAATGTATTGAAGTCCTCAACAACAAAAACGAACAAAACGCATTTGTCATTTCCTCTCATGAATTGAAACAGCATCTGGTACCCATGATTCATGACATGCCGAAATTGAGTGCTATACATATCTTTGATACCAACAAATAACACCATGTTGCATACGCCGAAAATTGGACGAAAATTAAAGGTATTTACACTTCAATCAAGTCCATCTGCCAAGCACTTCAAATGACAGTCAAACAGTGCAATCGGAACGAAAACAAGATCAGTGTTATCAGTGCAAGTGAAGATGGTTCTAGCCAAAATCTCAATGAACTAGAACCTTCCTTCATGTATTCTCAAATTTTCAAAGAAGTTGTCTTTGACATGAAACACGATCAGACGGCGATCGAGCGCTTTGTCACATTTTGTTTTGATTCGTATCACGATAATATCAAAAAATTAGAAACTATAAATGACTTTAAGCGAACTTATCATCCAACACAAGCTATTTGGTGGTATACAAAGGAACCTTTAATATACGATAGGCTCAATCGTGCCTTACGAACTCTAGATTGCGATATTATTATTAGAATGGGTTTCGTACTTTGTGATATTCACCGGCAAATCAAAGATTTACACGAACAACAGATTAAGCAATATGACAGGAAAAACCTTGTTGTTTATCGAGGCCAAGCATTATCAACAGCAGATTTCGAAAGACTTAAGAAAAATAAATGTGCACTTATGTCATTTAATAACTTTTTGTCCACTAGTGCAAATCATAGCGTCTCTAAAGTGTTTGCCGAAAGTGGTTCAGAAACTCCTGGCATGGTGGGCGTTCATTTCAAAATCAACATTGATCTAACGATTTCCTCAGTTTCATTTGCCTCCATTCGGGAAGTGAGTTATTTTTCAGAAGAAGATGAAATTCTCTTTTCTATGCACACTGTATTTCGAATTGAGAATGTACAACAAATTGACAAGAAAGAAAAACTTGATGAAGTAGACCTTAAACTGACATCAGATGATGATCCACAACTCCTTCAATTGACCGAATGTATACGAAAAGAATCTTCTTGAAGCACGGGATGGTAACGATTAGGTCAATTACTTCTTAAAGTAGGTCAATCTAACAAGGCCGAAGAATTGTATATCGCACTACTCGAAAATGCATCCAACGATGATGATCGAGCATATATTTATTATCATCTTGGATGCGTGAAACTATACCAAGGACTACACAGTGAAGCGCTTGCGTTTTACGAAACGTGTCTTGAAATCGACCGCAAAATTCCACTGCAAGATGACCCTTTACTGGCTTCCGTCTATAATAGCATTGGTGTGGTCTATAAAAGTATGGGTGACTATGCAAAAGCACTTGAATTTCAGGAAAAAGACCTCGAAATAACGACAAAGGTTTTCTCTCCGACTAATCCCATGTTAGCTATTTCGTATAGTAATATTGGTCAAGTGCATGAGGAAATGGGTAACTACTCAAAAGCACTTGAATTCTTTAAAAAAGCATTTGAAATAGAAGAAAAAGCACTGCGTCATATTCGTCCTACATTAGCTAGCTCCTATAAATGCATCGGTGGTATATATGAAAAAATGGGTGACTACTCGGAAGCACTTAAATCTTACGAAACAGCACATCAGATAGAAGAAAAATCTCTGCCTCCGAATCAGCCCACATTAGCTACTTCACATAGGAGAATTGCTGAAGTGTATGCCAACAAGGGTGACTACTCGGAAGCACTCAAATTCTACCAAAAAGCACGTGAAATACAAGAAAAAACATTACCTTCGACCCATCCTAGTTTGGCTACTACTTACAATGACATTGGTTTACTGTATCTTAAAATGGGCAAAGATTTGGAAGCACTTGAACTATACGAAAAGGCACAAAGAATCGACGAAAAAGCTCTGCCTTCGACTCATTGTGATTTTGCTACTACTTATCATAACGTCGGTCAAGCATATCGTCAACACGGTGACTACTCGAAAGCACTTGAATTCTACGAAAAAGCATCATATCTATGAGAAATCTCTGCCCTCGACTCATCCAAGTATGGCTATTGCATACAATAGCATGGGTTTAGTGTATAAAGACATGGGCAACTTCTCGAAAGCACTTGAGTTCTACGAGAAAGCACTTATAGTTTATGAAAAAGCTCTGCCTTCGACTCATTCGGATTTGGCTCCTGCCTACAATAACATCGGTTTAGTTTATAACGACATGGGCAATTATTCAAAAGCAATTGAATTCCACGGAAAAGCACTTGAGATAATAGAAACAGTTCTGCCTCCAACTCATACTGATTTGGCTAGTTACTATAATAGAATTGGTCTAGCTCATGACAACATGGGTAACTACTCAAAAGCACTTGAATTCTATGAAAAATCACGCATCATCTTCGAAAAAGAATATATAATTCACGGAAAACGTGTATCTCAGACTCATCGAAATTTGGCAGCTTTCTACAATGACATTGGTTTACTGTATAGCGATACGGGTAACTATTCACAAGCACTTGAGTTCTTCGAAAAAGCACTTAAAATGAGAGAAATAAGTCTGCATTCGACTCATCCTTTACTGGCTAGGAGTCACTTGAGTTTAGTAGGGTGTTACGAAAAAATGGTTGACTACACTTTAGCTCTTGATACCCTTGAAAAAGCTTTGGAAATTCAGCAGAAGACATTTGACGAAGATAATCCAGAATTTTCGTTTACATATAGTTGGCTAGGAAGAGTTTATCGCAATCTGAAAGATTATTCAACAGCACTTGAATATTTCGAGAAGTGTCTGAAAATCATAGAGCAAACACTGCCGGAAAGACATCCGGGTCGAGCTGTTACATGCACCAATATAGGTGATGTACATCGATTAATGGGAAATTATGAGCAGTCACTTTCGTTTCATAGGAAAGCATTAAATATCCAAGAAAATATTCAGTGTAGTCCTACGGAATGTGCAACTACATATACAAATATAGCTAAAACTTATCGAGAAATGCAGGATTATTCAATGGCATTGACATATTTTGTAAAAGGACTAAAAATTCGACAATAGTCGCTACCAGCAAATCATCCTGATTTAGCTATAATATATCACAACTTGGCGAAATTATACTTGGCTAAGTGCAATTACAGTATGGCAATGAAAAATGCTCGACAAGCAGTTGAAATTGCTCAGGAGACATTGCCATCCACTCATCCTCAATGTTGTGGATTATAAAGCAACATCTGATAAAGTTCCAAAGAAATCGTAATTTTTCTCTTAGCTCGCTCATTAAATTCTTCCTAAATGGGGCATGAGTGTAGGTGTTGGTGTGGGGTTTGGTTGTGGGTGTGTATATGTGAGTGTGGGTGGGTGTGATTTGATGTCGGTGTCGATGTCGGTATGGGTTGATGGGTGAAAATCAGTCAGAACCACACACCGAAACTCACAGCCACAATCACATCGAAAATGTAACGAAGCACAGCAGACGAAATTGTTCGATACTCGTCCACATTTTAGAATTTAATAAATCAAAACTAGAATCTAATTGGTTGCTGCTTTGGACGTAGCGGCAAGATAAATTTATTCGTTTGTCTCAATATGCTTAATTTATTCACTCATTTCTTGTCGCGTCTTGTACCAAGGTTTTCTTAGTTGAATCAATGGCAAATAAGAAAAATGTATTTTATAAGTGTTTTTGGTTTTGTCGATGGTTGTAGGTAAAAAGGAGATTTGTTTCTATAAGGGTGATTCCATGGGGTTTATACCACTTTGGTGGAAGTGGTCTTGGATTTTCATTTTCGTCTTCTAATTCACCCGAAGACAGTCTGAAAAGCATCCAGCAAAAAAAAAATTACGAACTTGTCCAATGAATAGTGAGCACCCGTGGACAACAC